AAAAGGAAAGAAAACTAAAGAAAATATGAACAGCAATATTGTCTGTTTAGATTACACAAATGCAACTTGTAAAAATAGATAGTTTAACATTATTCATGTACAATGAAATTGTTTTTTTTCAAGTAAGGCTGTCATCATTTTAATAAAGTCCTGTTCATGTTCTTGATTATGTTTGTGCATTTAACTGTGAGTGAGTGTAACAATGGTTCTGCTCTGTTCAGAGCTGCTCACAAAGCATCAGTAGACCACCAGCTGGGATAATAACAGATTAAAAAGCAGCAGCACAATCAGCATTACTCTCAAACCCATAAGCGGCTGGTGATTTTATGTTAATATTTCAACACTTACACGCTGATGTTGATCCATTTGTACCATGCAAGATTAGAATAAAAACACTTTTTTTTATTTATGTATGTATTAACACCTTTACTGTTTTCACTTAGGACCTTTTAGTATTTCAAACTGTGCATTGTCATCCTTCCTCCAACATCCGATTATTCTCCTTTCTCTTTCAGGTTCATCTGCCTTGCCCAGTAATATGGCTTACTTTGGAAGCTCCCAGGAGGAGGAAGACCTGGAGGACGAAGGGGAAGAGGAGGAGGAGGAAGAGGTGCGGAATGGTAGCAGTGTCCACTCACATGGTGTGGGAGGCAGTAGCCAAGCCTCGGCCTCCTCCTCTTGCAGCTCTACACCCCGCAAAAGCAAGCTCCCCGCCAGGCAGCCACTCAACGGGCACGGTAAGAACCAGACTGGCAAACAGAACAAAGCGTGCCACATTTTTATTCCTAACAAATACTTTGTTCACATAATAGAAAAGATTCATGTTTTAAAGCACCACAAAGATCTCCGTAAGATGTGTTAATGAAGGGTAGACAAAACAGAAGTTAGCCAAAAGATGAAGTAGAGACATGCTGTCATAAAAAGACAAAAGTCAAGTGTCTGTGCATATTTGTTTTTTCCACACAGTAGCAAAGACCTGCTAGCACTCGACTGCAGAAAAGGGGCAAGTTGCAGAGAACTGCAGAGCAGTGGATCAACTCTTTCCACCCCAATTAACACTTAGCTTACCGAGCCTTAACAGCATGTTTATGCACTCACTGCAACAGCTGGCTGTGGCTCTAGACACATCCACAGCATTACAATTACAGCATATGTGTCCCCCTCAGGGTACAAAAGACATTCAGATGAATGCACACAATGTCCAACATTTAGGGGAATTACGGTACATGTAAGCAAACCGAGGTTGTAAAAATCTTAATTTTCCCCCCACATTTTTAGTTCCTAAAAATCTGTAACATGACAAAAACTATTACTGTTCTGGAGTTGGTAAGATAAAACTCACAATTTTTCCAATCATAATCTGACAGTTATACACATTTTGTTGAAAAGTTGATAGTGTTAATCAAACGCTTTAAACCGAAAGCCTCTTCCTGACAGAAGTAAGGAACATATCCACTCTTTATAATAAAGCAAGGGTTGGATTTCATAGCACTTCCTCTTCCCACAATGACTTTCTCGGCTTCCTTAGTTCCTTAGAGTTGCCACCTGAGTAGTTTTAACAGGTGAATGCTTTGTTCAGCATTTTTATTCTGTCATCTAAAGTAGAATGTGAAGGAGAAGACAACATAGAGCTCCTCCTTGAATCGCCACCTTATCGTGGTGGAGGAGTTTGTGTGCCTGAACGATCCTAGGAGCTATGCTGTCGGGGTCAATTGTAATTGTCCCTGGTAGTGTCTACCAAGGCAGATTGGTTCTAGGTGACAGGTCAGACAAAGAGCGATTCCAAAAAACAACAACATATGGACAAGAAAAAGTAAAGAACTCAATGTCCCTTGCCCGTATGTGGGTTACCGGGGCCCCACCCTGTAGTCTGGCCTGGGGGAGGGGCTCATCGGTGAGTGCCTGGTGACCATGTCTCTCCACATGGGGCCCAGTCAGGCTCAGCCTGAATGAGTAACATAGGCCGTAGGCTGGGGGCTTGGCGCTCTGACCATGGTTTACCAAAGCTAGCTCTTGGAATATGGAACATAACCTCTCTGGCAGGGAAGGAACCTGAGCTTGTGTGTGAGGTTGAGAGGTATCGACTAGATATTGTTGGGCTCACCTCGATGCACAGCATGGGTTTCAGAACCAATCGTCTTGAGAGGGGCTGGATCTTATTTCACTCTGGAGTTGCTCATTGTGAGAGGCACCAAGCTGGTGTGGTTCTACTCTTGGCCCCCTGACTTGGTGCCTGTGTGTTGTAGTTTTTCCCAGTAGATGAGAGGGTAGCTTCCCTATGCCTTATGGTGGGGGGGACGGGATCTGACAGTTATTTGTGCCTACTTGCCAAGTGGCAGTTCAGAGTATCCAGCCTTCTTGGAGTCCTTCACAAGGATATTGGAAGGTGTGCCACCTGGGGACTCCTTTATTCTGCTGTGGGACTTCATTGCCCATGTGGGTAGTGACAGTGTGATCTGGAGGGGAATGAATGGGAGGAACGGCCTCTCTGATCTGAACCCGAGCTGTGTTCTGTTGTTGGACTTTTGTGCTAGTTTGTTCATCATGAGCACCATGTTTGAACATAAGGGTGTCCATAAGTGCACTTGGCACCAGGACACTCTAGGTTGTAGATCGATGATAGACTTTGTAGTTATCAATCAATCAATCAACCTTTATTTATACAGGTAAATCCCATTGAGCCTCGAGGACTCATTTACAAGAGAGACCTCTGTCATCTGATTTGTGACCATCAAGGCTGAAGAAGGAGCCTTATCAAGCCTTGTTAGCTGGTGGGACTCTAGAGGCAGCTGAGGTGTACTGGAGGGCCACAGCGTTGGTTGTTATTGAGGCAAAAGCTCGGATGTGGAAGGAGTTTGGTGAGGCCTTGGATAGAGACTGTCAGCTCTGAGAAGATTCTGGCAAACCATTAGGTGGCTGAGGAGGGGAAAGCAGCACTTTTCTAACACTGTGTTCAGTGAAGGTGAGATGCTGTTGACCTCAACCAGTGATGTTGTTGAGAGGTGGAAGGAATACTTCTCGGACCTTCTCAATCCCACCAGCATATCTTCCATGGAGGAAGCTGAGTTGGGGGACTTCAGGGTTGGTCTGTCCATAACTGTGGCTGAGTTTCCCAAGGTAGTTAAAAAGGTCCACGGTGGCAGGGCTTCGGGGTTGGATGACATCTGCACTGATTTCCTTAAGGCTCTGGATGTTGTGGCGTGGTCTTCGATGACACACCTTTTAAACATTGCGTGGAAATTGCGGCAGTGCCACTGGATTAGCAGACTGGGGTGGTGGTCCCCCTTTTAAAAGAGGGGAATCAGCGGGTGTATTCCAATTATAGGGGTATCACTTTCCTTAGCCTCTCTGGTAAAGTCTTATCAGGGGTACTTGAGAAGCAAGTCCAATCGTTGTTCGAACCTCAGATCCAGGAGGAACATTGGGGGTTCTGAACTGGCTGTGGAACACTGGACTAGTTCTTTACCCTCACTAGAGTGCTTGAGGGATCATGGGAGTTTCCACTTCCAGTCTACATGTATTTTGTGGACTTGGAGAGGGTGTTAGACCACATTCCTTGGGGTACACTGTTGGGGGTGCTCCGCGAGTATGGGATTGGGTGCCTGGTGCTATGGACTGTTCGGTCCCTATACTAGCAGTGTGAGAGTTCGGTTTTCATTGCTGGCAGTAAGTCGGACCCCTTCAGGGTGGGAGTTGGACTCTGTCAGGGCTGCTTCTTGTCAAGGATTCTTTTCATAACTTTTATGGACAGAATTTCTTAGTACAGCCAGGGGGTGGAGGGAGTTCGGTTTGGTGGCCTCAGGATTTCATCTATTTGTGGATGATGTGGTCTTATTGGCGTCATCATGCCGTGATCTTCAGCTCTCACTGAAGCGGTTCACAACCGAGTGTGAAGTGGCTGGGATGAGAATCAGCACCTCCGAATCTGAGGCCATGGTCCTCAGTCGGAAAATGGTGAATTTCTCTCTTCAGGTCAAGGGTGAGGTTCTTAAGCGGAGGAGTTCAAGTACCTTGGGGTTTTGTTCATGAGTGAGGGAAAATTGGAGCATGAGATTGACAGATGGATTGGTGCAGCATCTGCAGTATTGCAGACTCTACCGGTCTGTTGCGGTGAAGAGAGTGCTGACCTACAAGGCAAAGCTCTCTGTTTACCGGTCTGTCTATGTTCCTACCCTCACCAATGAGCATGGACTCTTGAGTAGTGATCAAAATACTGAGATTGCAGATACAGGTGGTTGAAATGAGTTTCCTCTACAGGGTAGCTGCACTCTCCCTTAGAGATAGGGTGAGAAGTTCAGTTATCCAGGAGAGACTCAGAGTAGAACTGCTACTCCTCCACATAAAGAGGAGCCAGTTGAGGTGGTTTGGGCATCTGGTAAGGATGCTCCCTGGGCACTTTCCTTGAGAGATGCTTCAGGCATGTCTGACTGGGAGGAGACCCCAGCGAAGACCCAGGACACGATGGAGAAACTGTCTCTCTGTTGACCTGGAAATGCCTAGGAGTCCTCCCAGAAGAGCTGAAAGAGGTGGCTGTGTAAAGAGATGTCTGGGCATCAATGCTCAAGCTGCTGCTCCTGCGACCCGACTTGGGAACAAGTTTGAAAGATAATGGAAAGATGGATGGATGGAAGACAACAGAGATACTAATGGAATCTAGAAACAGACATAAAAACCCTAAGTTTTGTATCTTGATGCATGCTCAATAATCCAGGTAGAAAATTCTAAAAAATTTAAATCTGGTCCTCTGGACATTCAAAAGAAAACAAAACAAAAAAAACAAAGCAAAACAACAAATAAATGTAGAAACGTTTCGCCGAAAGACTTCCTCAGTCTGAGGTGCTGTATTCAGCTCAGTCTTATAAATACCACCTTCTCAGATTGGATCAACCAGTTTTGCTGCTGACAACCAAAACCAGCTGCTCACATGATCAAGAAGGACCATCAGCCTAACAATGGATCATTAGCACACTGATGGCTGTTTACTATTCACAGGAGGCTGAGTGATACTAGCAATAACAGAATTGTAAGAGGGGGACAGTTGAACACGTAGGCTAACAGAACACTAGATTTGTACACTTTGATCTCCTGAAGGACACTGTTCTGATATCTTATAGTTCATTGACTGTGTCTGTCCACTATACACCAACAGGTTTCCCTCATCCTTTTCAGAAACGCGTATATCAGCAGCTTAGAACATTAAACTGTACAAGAAGTACAAACAGTGGGAGAGCGAAACCTATGTGAACAAATCGAGGTTTGTGCATGAGGACAGTGTATTCTCCTTTTTCTTATCTCATTCACAAACACTGTTTGCAAAGCAGCTTGGCGCCTTCTCTGTGATATGCTAAATAAACAGATAAGGGGGAAAACAGGCAGACATACTTTGCAAGGTACAGTAGCGATGCGGGGATTAAGGACATTTATGTACACACATATTCAAGAGTGAGCCATTGATTCAGAGTGGACAGCATTTATGCTTACATTTGTTATTAGGCACACACACAGAGAAAAGCAGGCTCACACCTTAGTGTATTTTGCAGAATTAAGATTAGTGTTAAATCTGAACCGTGTAATATGCAGCTTGGGCTACTTTCTTTCTTAAGAAGAAACGGGAGAGAAGTGAAGATGGAAAAAGGGGTGTGGAAGAAAAAAAAGAAATGGACTTCATGAAGGACTGAGAAAAGTTTAGTTTTACTCTGAGAAGTAAAAAGGGACAGGAAACGCCTTACATTGTTGTCCATTCATCAGTGCCTTGTCCTTCTACTACCATTTCTCTTTTGGCCATATGCCATGTTGACAAAACTAAATTAACAGCTTTTATTGGGCCCAGATTTATGCTTAGCTCACTAATATGTCAAGATTTCACTAATATTTCATCAAGCCAGGGGCCCCAGAGACCACCAGAGTCTCACAAGTAGTTACAAGCACATATGTATGCAATGAATGTGTACTGTAAGGTCTCTGTGTTACAAAAACTCGATGAAAGTTTAAATTTGGGCTCATTAGAACTGAAAAGTGGGCTATTGAATGGGGATGTTAATTGCCTTGCTACTGTTTGGCTTGCTTAGCTCCATCTTCTGTGGTTAATGCAGTCGAAGCCCTTTTTGAACAGGCTCATTGAAAATAATATAAAGACGTCTTCATACACTCTTTAAATTATGCATATTTTAGTGATTAGGGGTAAGATGTTTTCCAAAAGTTTGTCACTCCACTGTTTGTACTGGCTTTTCCACTTGGTCGTTGTGGTTAAGTCCCTAGTGGTTAAAACCTGTTCACCCCATTGGCTGTAGCCCGAAAAAGCAGCGTGGTCTATATGATGCTTCCATTTTAGGAACTTTCCACAGAACCTAAAAAATATTGTATTTATTTGTTTTGGCTTCTTATATTTATAAGAAGGTCTACCTGGTTGTAAAATTTCAAAATGAGTAGCAACGTTTTTCTATGCAACACTACTTTTCTCCTCAAGCACCAGTTTTTGTGTTAAGAGTTAGATTATTTTTGCATTGGTCTCTAACTTGGTCAACAAGTTCAATCTCTGGTTTTTTTTTTTTTTTTTTGGATCACTCTCAAATGGAGTTAGTAATGAAATGTTTGACATTTATTCCTTTAATCACTGTCTAAAGACTGATGAAATGTGGCTGCAGCTCAGTGCATTTTGTATTTCTGGGCTGGTGTTTTGTAATTTTTCATTCTACAGACATTCTAAGACGAGTTTAAATGGAAATCAGTCAAACGCATCGCGTATAACCATGTTAGGCTTGTAATTATTAAGACACCCTTTAAATTATGCTGCTACAGTTCTAAGGTGCTTGTGTAGAAGGGTAGTCCCTCTTTTTGCTGTCTAAACTCTGCATGTTTTATACAATTACTGGAGTAACTAACTCTGTGATTTTCTTTCTGATAGCAGGTTTTGCCGGCGTACTGTATTTTGCACATGTTTGTGTCTCTGTTCCTACCCTCTGAACTCCCAACCGGTCCAAGCAGATGGCTGCCTTCCCTGAGTCTGGTTCTGCTGGAAGTGTCTTCCTGTTAAAAGGGACTTTTTCCTCCTCGTTTCTGCATGTCGCCACGTGCACACTCACGTGCACACTCAGGATGGTGGATTGAATTGAACATTCATTACAATCCGTTGGGTTTTCTTAGCTAGGCATCTCAATACAAATTGGCATTAAATAAATGCAGATATAGAAATGTATTGAATTAAATGATATTTAACTAAACCAGATTGATACAAAATAATTGGATTTATTGGAAAAATCTGAGCATAAATTGAACACAAGTTCCTGTGTTGTGAATTTTTCAATTTTGAATAGAAATTCATTACAAATGTTAGTCTTGTAGAGCTTCATTACGCTCCTAAATGAGTTCTGGGTAAACTCTTAATGTAAAACAGATATTTTCTCAATCACTGTATCTTTCCTTTGATGTAAATGAAAACATACATTTTGTAATATGGAAGGTAAACACTGAATGGTTCAATATTGGTACTTCGTTTTTGTTAGAAGTACAAAATATGCTTCAAGTGTCTGCAAGAAAAAAATCAGTTCCTTCCAAATCTTGCTGCACCGTACAACTTGTACAAGTATGTATCTATGTATCTGTATATAGCTTTTTTTTTTTGGTATTAAGAATCACAGGCGTTTACAATATTTCCTCTTTGATCTCCTTCCAGTTTTTAACAACAGTAAAGCAGGAACCAGGGAGAGTCCGAGGCCGAAAGCAGGGACTAACAGCAGGGATGCACCCGCCCCGCCACTGCCACCTCCTCCGCCACCTCCACCGCCTCTGCTGAGGGAGCGCAGTGAAAGGGCGGAGGCACGGGAGCTCGCCAGGGAGCAGCAGGCCATGGCCAGCAGTCGAGGCTCAGCCTATGGGATGACATCAAGGAGAGCGGCTGAGGAGCTACGGAAACAGGTCGAGTGTTGGCTGCAAACTTCCAGCATTTTATTTAGATTTAATTGGCTGTTGATAACATGGTTAATATCAAAGAGAAAGTGGGGAAAGAGGATGAGTATAAGTAGACTGAACAATATCATGCAGACCTTATCTGAGACATTTTACGGCTGGCAAAGTGTTTCATTTGTGTTAAAACTGCAATACAGTTGTATGTTTTTACAGCATGCATTAATTATTACTGGTACATTAACGTTTATTTGCATTACTGGCTTATGCACCCATACATTTTTTACTTCTTTAACTCGTTTTTCATCAGGCTGGCTCATAATTATCGAACTACTCCAGTGCTTTACTTGTTTGACAGTCTTTCTTACTTTCTTGCCCTTTTCTTCCTTTGCTTTGCATACTTCTTTCTCAGTGTTTCATCCCTCTCTTTTTGTGCAGTCTTATTATATCTCCTGCTTCCTCCCCTCTCTCATTTTCCTCCTCTCCTCTATCCATTGTGTCTGGAAGAGTAATGATTGTGTTTTGGCCTCCCGCGACTGCAGCTATATTTAGTAGTGCTGGCAAGGGGCTGTGAAATCCTGCCTCCCTCTCCATGGCACTTAGCAGGTTTCAAGGAACCCCATAAAGAGAAAACGGGCAAATACAAGGAGAGAAGAGGTGAAGATGGCTTTAGTCAGAAAACTGCTTTATTTGCATCAAATTGACTAATTAAAAGTAATTTTCTGCCAAGGCTCTTTGTTATATTTCCATTTCTTGTTTTTGCTCTTTTTTTCCTTTTTTCCACCTCCTCCCTCTGCCTGTTAAATCACAGCCTCTTCCCTGTAGTGTTGCGGTGCTGTTCAGCTGCTAATGCAGACTCGGACATGTGCTCGGGCTTTTTAAAGCGGCTGGTATTGTCCACTAAAAGCTACGATGAATCTCAATGAGAGTGCCTGCCTGCCAAGGCAAACTTCAGACTCTTTCTCCACTTGTCTGTTTTCTAAAGCTTTTCTTTTTATCACTTTCACTTTTGTCACTCACTGTTGGCACTTTGGGGGATTGTTTTGACTTGTTTATACTCATCTTCTTTTATTTACTTGTTTTTTTTTTCTTTTATTTTACCTCAATTTTAAACTTGGCAACACTGCTCCAGTCGTTCATTCACTTTCCCCTTCGATTAGCGCACACAGCATATTTTAACCATGTGTGTTCATAACTCACTCACACACACACACACACACGTTTGTGCACGTGACCAACTATGAAAATCCAAGCTTAGCTGTGTAAAAGGTTAAGTGATCATATAGCCATAAAATGAACTAAAGGTGTGCGTGTGTAAAACCGAATAGTAAAGGCATTATCATAATTTAATTCATGGCAATTCAGCTTTAGCCAATTTAATAGCACGTGTATCAACAAAATGCATGCACCGTAAAAGGAGCGTTTCAGAAAACAATAAGATTCTGTTCATTTTAATTAAATAACAAAATCGAGTATGTCAGCAAAGCAGCTTTACCCAGCAGCAGAGGCAGGTGGGGTCTCCAGGGCCAAATCATTTAGCCGACTGTGCATCATTTGAAGAAGATCCTCTTGTTTACTCGTTTATCCATTGTCGTTAGGTAACCTCATGTATGGCACTACAGAAATTTAAAGGGATTACACGAGATCATTTTAGAGTCAAAAGGATTTAAAAGCCAAAACACACTCGGATCATATATAAAATGGTAGATTCATCTGAACAGTTAGACTTGGAACGCTGTCGTCAATATCTTCGACAACTTTTCGGCAGTTTAGACTTGAACTTGACTGCTGGAAACGAGAGGTGCATGTGTGATTTTATCTCTACCAGAAGCAGAGCATGTCCGTGCACTAAAATATCTGTTAAGATGAGGTTTCTTCACACTTGATTTTGCATATATCAGTACTACATGGTTTGAAATGTATCCAAATTATTGACAAGTGAGTGATTTCATAAAAAGCATCAAGGTGCAACTCTTACACTGCAAAATCACAGTAATTTCCCTTTTAGACAAAAAGCTACATTTGTGCTTTTTTTTCTGATCTAATGGCTTTTTTACTGAAAGGGGGAGAGCTGACCAGGAAATATTTAATGATCAGGACTGCAGAATGTGTTCAAACAGCTTCATTCAGGTATGAGGTCTCGGAGAGAAGTTACTGAAACCTGAGATAGAGACAACACAAAATAGTAACAGATTGATACTAATTGGAAGCCATTTTTTTCAGTGTTTTGATAAACACAGTGAATCTAAATCTAATCTTTTATTCCCGTTTTCCCTCTGTTGTAATTTAAAATCTTTGTAAGGGTTAATTTTTTCTTATCTTCTAATATTAGACTGGCCTTCTTGTCTCTCTTTGCATCGTCTCCTCCTGCTCCTCCTCCTCCTGGCTGAGCCATCTCCTGCAGATGTAGTGTGTTAAACAAAAAGAGTCTTCCTGCTAGGCCTCAGCTGGGCTATAGCAACACATGATGTCATCAGGACACACCCCCTTTTCCCTCCTCTTCCTCTCACGTGCAGCCAGAATCTCCTTCACTTCTGTGTTTAGCTTTTTTCTTTTTTCAGCTTCATTGTTTCGCCCAATCTGCTGAATTATTTTATTCTTTCTGTCTCTCTCTCTTTCTTTTTCTCTGTCTCTCTTTCTTTCTCTCTTTTTCTTTCTGTCTCGGTCTTTCTTTCTGTCTCTTTCTCTGTCTTTATCTTTCTTTCTTTTTTCTCTGTCTTTTTTTCTTTCTTTCTTTCTCTTTTACTCTCTCTGTTTCTCTTATTTATTTTGTCCATCTGTCCTTCCCTCCCTCCATCCTTCTGTTTCTCCTCTTCCTCCTCCTCCATCAGACCAAATAAGTGTGAATAGCAAACAGACCCCCCCCCCGCCCCCTCATAATGAGAACAGGTCTTCTGAGCCCCCCAGTGGCAGAAAGTGGTCATGACAGTTAATTTTTTCCAAGTTTCTTCTTCAGCACAATGTGGCTGAACAACTAAAGGAGAAACTTTGTTAGTGATTTGCACAAATTGGAGAATAGACCACCGAGTGGGCGTCCTCAAATAAGCTCCAAAAATCAAGTGAAGATATTATGCTGTCATTATGTTTTGGTTTATTGGAGTTATTGGTAATATTTGTATGTTAACCAGCAGTGGATGGAGCTTCTCCTACCGTTTTGGGGTTATCTTTGGATAAAGGATTTGTGAACCACTGCTCTAAATAATCACTGCTTTAGTAGTTTCTGCATCAAGGCTACCTGACGAATAGGACTGTGAAGTTGATGTATCATGAGGGGAGAGGGAGGGGTGATTGACAGAGGCAGGGTTAGATTTCAGTCCACCCTTATCTTTTAATGGCCTGGTCTTTGTGTTGGCCTCTGCCACCTGAGACAAACACAACACAATACAATATATACACACACACGTGTGTGTGCCTACACACACTCGCATTCAGATTTGAGTGTGACGCAAGAGTCGTACAAAGGCAAACCCGTCAATGGGCCGGCTGTCACCTCCCTCCTGTGGCGCCTGGTTGTGATTGATAACTCCATCTCTTCTTTCCTCCCTCCATTCTTGTGTCTGAAACAGAAAGACAGAAAGGCTCCACCACATGAATGGACAGTTTTTAAATCGTCTTTTTTTAAAATTCAGGGCGTTATAAGGTTTAACTGTATTTCTAAGGGTGTCTGTTTTTGTGCAAAACCGAGAAACCTTAAAGGAACATTTACGTTCTTCCTTAAAATGTCTTTTTCCAAAAAAAAAGTGAGCAAGTCAGCACATTTATTTAAAATTAATAGACAAGCTAAACACTTTCTCCTAAACCCATTCAGGTATTTGGAAACAAAATTAAATCTTTAAATTTTTAAGATTAGCTAAAAATTATACTGAGTGGTAAAAATGGGTCATGGAAACAAAGTAGAGATAAAGAGATATTCTTAGGAATGCACGTAGAAGGAAGGTTTGAAGACGTAAAAGAGCTGCAGGAAATGTGGCAATGAAAAGGAAGTAGAGTAAAATTGGGCTCATCGGAAAATACCAAATTGTAAAATTGTCATAAATTAACAATGAAGAGTTTGTAAAGCCATTTTGAACAGCAGAAGATTGTTTGTTCCCAAGCTTGCAGGCTTTCACAGTTCAAATACACATTTACAAGTAAAAAGCTATTTTTAAACGCCTAAATGTGATTTTATTCCATTTGGTTGACCCCACCTCCTACCTCATACTGTCCGGCCATCTGTTAGCAAAAATTAAGTTGCCATCTCTCCTTTTATTTCATGGCTGCCCTCTTCTTCCTCCTCAACTGTTACTCTCTGTGTGATGTGGTTTGTGTGTATCCTTGTCTAAATCTCATCCATTGTATTAAAAGTAAATGGGAGTTTACACACTGCTTTCAAAACCATTGTTAACTAGACAGTTCATCATTTCCCTAACGAACAACAAAGGTTTCCACAAATAGTGTGACAAAGCAAATGCTTCATCACATGCTTACAAGCTGTGGATTTGGCCTCCACTGTGGAGTGTAGGAGCGCCCATGCCTCCTCTGTGTACTGGGATGTTCTTTTTTGATATTTTAAAACAAAACGGCTATCATCTGTGTTGCAACATTTTTTTTTAACACTGATGTGACCTAGAATATAACAAAGACCCAATCAGACTGTTTTTTTTTTAATTACTCGAGTTTAATTAGTTTCCTTTCTAGAAAATATTTAGCGTTTTCTCTATCCAATTAAACTTGTTTTTCTCCCGCTCTGTTTATTTCAGGTTTCGAAAGTAAATGGGCTGACGCGGGCTGGCTCGGCTCAAGCTGTCGTCGGTGCCAAAAAGTGCCACGACTTGCGACTGCTGTCCAAAACTGTGAAGAAGTACACAGCCACCGTGTCCAAGGGCCACGTCACCTACACCAAAGCCAAACAGAAAGAACTGGGCAGGAAAACCAAACTCAGCAGCAGCAACAAACACAACAGCGCCGCCTCGGCATCATCGTCAGCGAACAATCACAATCAGCACAGCCAGCCAGCAGCCAGCACTAGGTTGGCCAACTCAGGAAAAGCAGCGGCATCAGCCCACAACAGCAATGCAAAAACTCGCAAACAGGTGCTACTATCAAACGGGCTGCACAACGTGGCCGCCAGTGCCCGACCCAACGGCAGGCTTAATGGGCAGTGGCACAATGCCTTGGCCAAGGAGGACGGTCCGAAACAGTGCCAGCAAGTCCACGTGGAGTGCCCAGGCCGAGAGGGACTGCGAAATTCCAAACGGCGTCTGGAGGTGGTGCTTAACTCAGTGAGCGCAGCCGTCGTTGAGCAGAAAGCCAAAACGAGCGGCGCTGAGGCCAAGAAGGCCAAAATTCAATCCTCACCTTTGGAGACGCGCAGCAGCAGCAAGAAGATGGCCATTGAAGAGAAAGCTAACAAACAAAACCCCACCCCCACCACGCCGGTTTCTAATGGACATGCATCAGGAACACCCACCTCTCCTAAACAAACTCCGCCTGTTACTTCTTCTACGCCCCCTCCTCAACAAACCACACCTCCTTCTACACCAGCAGCCAATGTGGAGCCAGTGAACCAGCGACCTAAGCGTGCATCAGCTGGTAAACTGATGTTGATACGACAAGCACAGCAGCAGCAGAACAGGTCACATGGTCGGGGCTCCTCCTCTTCCTCACCTTTGATAGGCCACAACAGTTCACCAAACCCCAGTCGTGCCAGCACTACCTCAGACCCCCAACAAACCTCGGCGTCCTCCTCTTCCTCCTTCTGCTCCTCCTCCTCTATTCTTACTTCCACTAGCAGACCTGGACAGGTCAAACCAGCAGCGCAGCGGCTCGCCGACCGCGACAAGGAGTGGGAGCGTGAGAAAGAGTTGACGCGCCAGAAGGAACGCGAGCAGGAGAAGGAGTGGGAGCGCCAGCGGAGTAAGCCGGAGGGCTGGACGGCACTGGGCGAAGCTCCTTTCTTTCGGCCACTTCCTAGGGAGTTCCAGGACCCTCTGGTGTACTTGGATGCAGTGAGGGAACAGGCCGAGGTGGCCGGCATGTGTCGCATGGTGCCACCGCAGGACTGGCGGCCGGAGTGCAAACTGAACGAGGAGATGCGTTTTGTTACGCAGGTGCAGAGGGTCCACATGCTGGGCCGACGCTGGGGCCCCAATGTGCAGCGGCTGGCTTGCATCCGCAATCACCTCAAATCTCAGGGCATTACCATGGATGAGCCACCTGTCATTGGTAAGTGAGACAAACAGGCACACGACGTGATTTTACGCCAAATGAGCATCCAAAGCCACCCCTGAAAATGACTGGAATTGACTATATTAATAAGGCTTCTTCCTGCAGGCTGCCACAGAGGACAGGAGCGATTGATTTTACTTAAGGGAATTGGATCTAGATAATTGATTTTAAACTGTCACCCTGCTCATTGTAAACATGTAGCTTTCTTTAAAAATGTTCAAAGTATGATGCATCAGAACTAGAAAAAAAGGCTACTTATAGTTTGCAGCTCAACTGTGTTGTCATTATTGCTGAATTCATGGCTGTGTTTATTGGTGTCAGTGGTCCTTTTTGTGTGCTTTCACCAGTTTTTATTTTTTAGTTTACAGTGACAGTAAAAATTTGAAACAATCCTGCAAAGAGCAAGTCAGTATTTCATTCAGATCTAGTTATTCTTTCATTGTCGTTTAAGCGTATTCAGACTTCAAACAGAAACCGTATTATTGGGTTTGCAAATGCTTTCACATGAACAAGTTGTGATTTTACTAGTTTTAAGCTGTTTTTCTTAATTGTGCTGTGCCACGTTTGTAGCCTTTAAATTCACATGCGTACAGATCAGAGCCGTCGGTGTTGGGATTTCTGTTGCAGCTGTTCAGCATAGTGAAACACCTCGCTTCCATGGGACTTCCTGAACTTGATAACAGCTCGGTTGAACTTTGTAACCTTATTATTATCAGCAGAACAAAAGTGTGAACAGCAGCAGACACATTGATAAAAAGAAACACAGTAGCAATGACTTCATTTGGCTTCTGATTAGCTATCCCAACTTTAAACAAAAAAGTATTTTCTTAATAATCCAGGTATATAATCCAACAATTTTCAGTCAGGTCATCTGGACAGTTTCTTTTTTTTTTCACGTTTCAGCAAAAAAAGAAACTGTCCAGATGACCTGACTGAAAAGTGTTGGGTATCCCAACTTAACTCCTCCTTCCCTTTCCTATGACTGCTGTTGAGCTTGATGGGGAATTTTCTGAACACAGCTGTGGTTTCTAATGTACCATATTCTCCGCCGTAAACGTCGCACCGCCCTATAAGTTGCATCAGTCCAAGTATGTCTAATAAAGTGGAAAAATCCATAAATATGTCTCTTGGCTGTATAAGTCGCATCTTTTATGTTACGCATCACTGGTGACAACACGGAAATGTGTGCTGGTGTTGTGCCAAAAATCGATTGGCTGCCAAATGGCGGCCGCGGGGGCGTGCACTGAAGGACTTTAACAAGCATTTAACAAGATTAACACTTAAAAACCATTATTTGCTCAAAATTATAGCAAAGGTGTGTCTCAGTCTAACTTTTCCTTAATAAATGCACTTTGACGGTCAAATCAGCTGAGTTTTCAAAAGCAGATTTGCGGAAACATGAACGCGCAGAGAGATGAGTCGCTGTGCATCTCTTCGAAATCTCTAACAAGATAAACTCTTAAAAACAATTGTTTGTTTGCTCGACTTTATAGTAAAGGTGTGTCTCAGTTGAACTTTTACTTAATAAATGCACTTCAATGGTCAAATCCGCTTCATTTCCCCGTGGCGGCGCAGCCAAATGAAGCTGATTTGACGGTTGCTCCAGGCAGATAATGGTGGCAGGCTGATTGTGTCATTAATGGCAACTTTTATCGATTACATGACACAACGGCATTTCATGCTACTTGAGTGCCAGCTAGTGGCTGAAAATGGTAGTGTTCAATATTTTCAGTAAGAATGAATGAAAATGGTCATATCTCAGCCAAAAATTGGTTTATAAATATGGGAAAAATCCATACATTAATCGCTTCGGCATATAAGTCGCAGGGCATGCAAATTATGCAAAAAAAAAAAACACGACTTATAGGGCGAAAAATATGGTACATTTATTTTAACTCATTCTATCATTGTAGTTAAATAAAACTCCCTCATTTAGGACATGGATTGTTTACCAGACACCACTAAAGCTTTCACATATTAAAGTAAATTATCACATTCTCAGAAAACTGTGACCCAATGAAGATTTCACAATTACACCTTAACTTGATGTATTGTCTGATTTGATGGTGGTAAAATAAATCTCACAAGGCAGTCACTTTTTTTGTCACTTTCACAGACTGAGGAAAGCATGAGGAACTTTGAAACAACAGTGATCAGTGGCTAAATGCTGAGGTTTTAAGCAAAATGATGTCTGTTGTCTTTATTTCTATAAAACTTAAGGACTGATTGCTCATGAGGTGACAGGAGCTTGTGACTGACACTCAAAAGTGATCTTCCCCACCCCCCACCCCCAACAAATGAAAAGAAATCAGAATAAAGCTTGCGTGTTGTCAGACAAAGCTCGTAAAAATCTGAAATGGAAGCTCACAGCTTTCAATAAAAAAATGACAGAATCCATTGAAACCAATGCAACTACAAAAACTGCCATTAACTGTATGCTAGCTCTTTTTTTTTTAATTAAATTTTATTTATTCATTATTTGCTTCATGCAGGTGGCTGTGAAGTGGACCTGTCACGTTTTTTCCAGCTCATCAATGACATGGGTGGCATGCAGCAGGTGATGGACCTGAAGAAGTGGACCAAGCTCGCTGACCTTCTGCGCATCCCCAAGTCTGCGCAGGACCGGCTGGCCAAGCTGCAGGAGGCTTACCTCCAGTACATCCTCTCGTACGACTCACTCAGTGCTGAGGAGCGCCTTCGACTGCTGAGCGACGTGTTGCTGGAGAAAAAGAACCTGGAGTCACGCCAGGGCCCCCTGGAAGGTCTCTCTGATTCTTCAGCTCCGAGCGGGCTCTCGCTGCCACGCTACGAGCCCAAGAACGGCCTAGTAGGCGGGATAGTGGGAGGCACGACGGGGAACCACCGCACCAACGGAGTCTATCACCGTCTGAAGGAGCTGGAGGCTCAGGTGAAAGCGGGCCGGCGCCGGCTCTTCGCTCAGGAAAAACAAGGCAAGGACGACAAGCAGCACGGAGAGGAGGAGGCGAAGGAGGACAGAGGCGTTCTCAGTGACCAGTACAAATGCATTTACAAGGTGAGGATACAGAAAACACTTCATGTTTACTCCACACTCTTGAAGCACGCAGACAAAAGGAACGTAAGTGCATCTTACCTTTTCACGGCTCCTTCCTGTTCTCCCTTGTGATCTGAAGTTATAAACTGCTGATAACAACTTTTATTGTCATTTAAAGGTCGACAGTTGGTTTGCCATCAACAGTGGCAGAACAGCATGGAAGCATCTATAAGTCGGCTTCCTCAAATGCCTCATTGTGTTTTTTGTTCAACTAATTTAACTGAAAGATTAGGAAAACACTCAACACATTTTCGACCATTATTTCAGCATTTCGGTTGCGTTTTAAAAGTTTGCCTTTTGTAGGCTGCTGTTCTGGGACAATCTGTGACACGTGATTGCTGCAATTGTTAAAGGTCGGGCTTGTTCTTCAATGAGAAATACACCCACAAACTATTTCTGCTTCAAACTTGTATTACTAAAAATGCAGGAAGTAGGGGGTCAAACATTCATTGGCCCTCTCACTTTACCTCGGCGTTCCTTTTTGGGCTCCGTATACCCGATTCAGTCGTTCACATCCATATAAGGCATACAGCTGAAAGGGTGAACAAAAAAAGACTGCAATAAAACTGTATTTACACCTGTTCTTTTTCTAAGATAGAGTTCGTAAATACTTATGTCTCTTTTTACCGTCATCACCTTCTTCATGAGAGAGGAGCAGCTGAAACTGCTGCTGCACTTTCAAATCTCTGAAGTATTCATCAAAGGTTTGGTTTCTGTATCATCAACCAACAAGAAGTGACTGGAATCATAGCACCCCACTGTTGAACCATTCCACTGATCATTTCTGTTTTCAAACAAGAAAACTCTTACAACTTGAAAACACTACACACCTTCTTATGTTAAGTAATCCTCATTTGGCTGATGGAACCGAATGATCCCTTCCATCTGTAGAGCAATCAGGTTTACAGGGAATAATTCTGGTGGTCGTCTCAGACAGGGAGGTGTAATGTCTTGACTTTTAGGAAACGCTTTTGTCTTCCTTGATTATGATTGTGTCTCACTCATCAATGTGTCACTGCCTTTAGAAATTCGTTGGGAACAGTCTGACCAAGTTTGTAGTTAACTAAAGTAAAATATTGTCAGATGTATTTATATTTGAATCAAGTGTTTTTTTTTATACTTGTGTATACATATATATATATGCTGGAGTTGGTTTATTATTCTGTGAGGTAAGCTGCTTTGATTGGATGTTCACCTAGAAAGATTCCCATCAGCCCTTTCTGCTGGCAGCTGTGCTCATCTGGCTTTCAGAAATGTAGGTCAGAGAAATTGCCCCGCCCCCTTCAAAGCCCCGCCTTCTTGATCACCCCACCACCTTTTAGCTTCTTTAGCACATCTCCTTCAGCAGGTCTTTTTTTTTTTTCTATTTGTCCCCAAAACCTCTGAGCTTCGTTGTCTTTGCTAACCTCCGTGCACGCCGTCCTCCTGCCACAAAGGCTGCAATTTGTGCACATGCAGTTCAAGCTTTGTCATACGCACCATGCGCACAAATTGCCATGTTCACATTTTGAGGAGGAGAAACAACTGTTATTTTCTTTACTTTTTGTCTTGGTTCGTTTTTACTTCCAATCCACAAAAACTCGCAAATCTGGATCTCGTTTGATTTTTTTTTTGATTTTTTTATTCTCAGTTGCTTTGGTCACCAAATCCTTCTATATGAACCTCCCTTTGAGTAACTGAGATATTGTCAATATCTGTTCAATCGGCAGAGCTTTGACGTCCAGAGTTAAATGTATCGACACGAGGAATCGTGCCACGGACCTGACAGGACAGACTGGGTTCAGCCCGGCTCAGATTTGTGCACATTTTTTCATCACAGACCTCCAGGAGGAGATCAGATTTCACTTTCACTATCAAGAGAACACAGTGCATGTCGAGGGCATAATTAACTCTGATTGCATTCTGAAAGCGCTGGTTCTGACTGGGGGGGAAGAAGACATTGTCAGTGTTTACAATGTAGCCTTTATACTGTATTATTCAACAGCTCTAATTTACTGCCTCGTAGTTTTTGTGCCGATTGAAAACTTTAGGAAGAAAACCAAAGGAAGATGAACTGTTAATGTGGTTTCTGTTCAGGCGTTTAGTTTTGTTGTCGTTGGATGATTCATGTAGGGATACGTGTTTGAAAAGGCACATACGAACACAAAGATAATGAACGTCTGCAGTTTTTACCCATAATGCTTTGTTGAAATCACCTTCTAATTTTGCTTATCATGATTGAGTATCATAAATATATATATTTTGTATTCATCACAGCATGCCGTCACTTCCAAAGGTAATTTAGTTTTTGGTTGCAGGGGAAATCGGTGTCCTTGACCAACTTCTTCAGGATAGCCCGCAACACCATGACCATGTGCTTTAACAAAGAACCAGGAGCTGCCGAGGTCGAGGTCAGCACTGCTCATTCAGTTCAAACGCCATCAGCTCGCAGTGACTTTGGCTTAAAGTGCAACGTCTGTGCGAGATAACTAAGCTGATGCAGGAAATCTGTTGTAATACGTTCATCAGGTTTTCTGTTTTCTTCCCTGCAGCAAGAGTACTGGAGGACTGTGGAGCAGAGAGACTCGCACGTGGCCGTTCATTGTGGAAAAGTGGACACCAGCACACACGGCAGTGGCTTCCCCACCGGAAAATCAGAGCCATTTTCAAAGTAAGCACCTTATATTATTTCATAGGCCTGCGTGAAAACATTCTACACGTCATGTTCTCTCATTCCTAACTGGACAGTTCGTAATCAGTGTTTACATTTGGTAATGAAATGAATCCCTACATGAGCCCAAAGCAGTTTGTGTGGTCATCAGTTGACGTATCGTTTATGTAAAGTCGGATGCATTCAGAAACTTGAACCGGAGGTTTTGTGTGTTTTTGTAACGTGCAGAAACACGTTCCCCTCACGAGGCTGCTCGACGGTCACCTTTCCTGTTTCGCTGTTCGGTTAAACACCAGAGGCCTCGTGCATGAACAGTGCACGCATCTAGGTGTACGAACACAAACGTGAAAGTGTGCAAAAATATACACAAACTGTTGACCTGCCATGAGAACGTAGTCCTCTCCGTCCATGCAAACATTCTCAGAGGACGGTATTTAAATACTAAAATGCCTAAAATACACTGGAATTTGACTTCTTCTGGCTTTTTGAATGAATGTGGTACTTGAACGCAACGTTTTATCATGAGTTTAAGCATTTATGTTTTAATGCTGAACAATAGAACTGAACCACAAACATTTAACCTGCCTCCGATGATCAAAACAACCTCAGTCCAACGTAAAACTGTAAAGGTTTGTATCTTTGTATTTTTATTTTGATCTCTGTGCTGAACTGGCCCCAGTGTTTCAGAGGAAAACTAGGAGAAGCCGGGCATTGCTGGTGCCAGTTTAAGTCCTCTAAGCGCTGGGGTTCCTTTTAACCAGAGCTATTCAGAGGGAGCTGGCTGACAGATCGGGTATTTGACGGTCGTCCCTGAGCCGTGCGGTTCTGTACCAGCCGGATGGGATGACCTCATCCATGTGATGCCCAGATATATCAAATTCCCCTACAGTGTGTGCACAGTAACTCGTTCCTTGACATCAACTGTGATGTCAGACCTAACAATGTTCAGTCAGGTCATCTAGACAGTTTCTTTCTTTTGCTGAGGCATTTCGTCCTTCATCCAAAGGACTTCTTCAGTCCAAGGAGCCACAAACAAACTGTGGAGTCCCACAAATGCCACACTCCCATAGTGGTGTTTTGAACGGTTTTGGCTGACTGCTTCAGATAAGTTGACGATGGAGAGGGCAGGCCCCAGAAACCATTGTATCACCAGCAAATTGTTCTTTTTTCCACTATGGGAGTGTGGTGTTTGTGGGACTCTAGTTTGTTTGTGGCTCCTCGGACTGAAGAAGCCAGATGACCTGACTGAACTTTGTTGGATTTGTACCTGGATTATTGAGCATGAACTTTATGTCAGACTTTTTTTGTTAAAGCAAGGACCAGGATTCAAATCTTGCTGCGTTAACATATGCCAACTTCTGCAACTCCTTTTTTTTTAGTAAATTTATTTCACATTCTGTAAAATTATTATTTTTTTACCTTACTCCACACCTTTGCCACCCTGGGCACAGGGTGGACGCCTGCCATGTATTTTCACTCGTCTGCATTTTTATTTATGAGAGGGGGCAGAGTGGTCCGAGCGCACGTGCAGCTGTGCTCTGCTCCATGTAAATAGAGTTATATGAAGGAAAGGTAAACAAAAATGGTGATATAAAACAGAAAAAAAGTGGGGTTTTTTTTTATATATATTCTGTTTGTACACCAATTTTCAGTATGAAAGCTGCACACTCTTTCATACATGAGGCCTCATGTCTGATAAACAGGAAGATAAACATCTCAATGAACATTCAGGGGCAGAGTCCTTTAAAAAAAACTACCGTACTGGTGATCACTTAAGACGAGTTGAAAACTTGTTTTTCCTCCTTAACCCTGGTGGCTTTTTTTCCAGACATGGATGGAATCTCACTGTCCTCCCCAACAATGCTGGATCCATACTGAGACATCTGGGTGCTGTGCCTGGTAAGACGCTGCTTCTCACAGCTTTAAGAAAATCACTTTCAAACGTACTTTTTAGTTTCATCCTACAATCATTTGATACATTTGCCGCCTGGTGGAAAATATTGCAAATCGTCCAGCTTTAGACTGCATCGTCAGGTTTTTAATGATTTTTTTCTGCCATCACTGCTTTCTTTTTCATAATTCTTCTCGTTTCTGCAGGGGTGACCATTCCCTGGCTAAATATTGGCATGGTCTTTTCTACCTCATGCTGGTCTCGAGACCAAAATCGCCTTCCATATATTGATTACTTACACACTGGTGCTGATTGCATTTGGTAAGTCTGCACACTTTAAGTATGTCAACTTGACTTGTAGAGCCCCCTAAAATGTAAGTCTCTCTTCTTTTAACAGGTATTCTGTCCCTGCTGAGGAGAAGGCTAAGCTTGACAAGGTGGTCCATACACTGCTTCAAGCCAATGGCACCCCAGGATTAGAAATGCTGGAGAAGAACATAATGGTTAGTGGTTTATCTGCGTACGGCTGTGTGTTCGGGCTTTGCATTTCCCAGCATTTCCAAAAATTGAGAAGCCGATCCAGCCGTAACATTTCTTCATTTTTCTTTCTTTAAACTTCAGCTCTCTCCAGAGGTGCTTTGCCGTGAAGGCATCAAGGTTTACCGTACGGTGCAGCGGAGTGGCCAGTTTGTGGTCTGCTTCCCCGGTGCCTTTGTCTCTAAAGTGTGTTGTGGCTACAGCGTGTCGGAGACGGTGCACTTTGCCACGCCACACTGGATGAACCTGGGTTATGAGGCAGCGAAGGTCAGTTCATAAAACAGAGCTTTTTCTAGTTTAACAGCTGTTCTCGTTTGGTAGTTTACTCCAGCTTTGGGTTTCCTTTGAGCAGCGGAAGCTGAGAAACAAACTTACAGCTTGGCTTTATGAGATGTTATTTAGCTGTCTGTCTTCTTGTGGAAGCAGACTTTAGATTTGTTTACAGTTATGAAAGCTTGACATGTGTAGTGTTTCCAATTTTCATTTTAAGTTCATCATTTACTCCTTTCCTCAGGATCTAAAATGTCGATGTATAGCCAAACCCTTCTCCATGGAGAAGCTACTGTATCAGATCGCCTCAGCTGAGTCCAAGAGGGACAACGGCCTCCTCCTCACCACCATCTCCACCCTACTCAAAGACCTCAGGCAGGATGCTGCACGACACACATGCACACCACAGCTGCAAAGCCACTTAAAGTAGCAACCAATAAAAAGCTTGCATGGTCACACCAAGCTTACCATTTTTTATCCACTTCAGTAATTAGGAATTACTTTTGAATTTACTTATTTTTAAAAGGAATACCGTATTTTTCGTTGTGTAAGTCGCTTTTTTTTTGTATAATTTGCATGCCTTGTGACTTACAGGCTGAAGCGACGTATTTATGGATTTTTCCCCATATTTATAAACCAATTTTTGGCTGCGATATGACCATTTTCATTCATTGACTGAAAATATTGAACAGTACCATTTTCAGCCACTAGATGGCAGCACAGTAGTAGTATTAGTGTGTATCAGGTTATGGGTAAATGTGGCTATAATACCATACCATACCAATTTATTTATAAAGCACTTTAAACAGTGACAAAGCACACCAAAGTGCTGTACAGGGACAAACAGAACAAGCACACAGCAACAGATTACATAATGACAAATTCAAAAAAGATCAAGACAAAAACAACTGGACTTCATTTATTATACTTTATTATTTTTGTCTTGAACTTTTTTGAATTTACCATGTCCTTGATGACTGAGAATCTTCACCAGCTATTAATGACACAATCAGCTTGCCATAGTCTGCCACCTTCGTTCTGCTCACTGCTTGGAGCGACCGTCAAATCAGCTTCATTTTGCCCCAACGAAATGCAGCTAATTTGACCATTGAAGTGCATTTATTAAGTAAAAGTTCAACTGAGACACACCTTTGCTACAATTTTGAACAAATAGTTGTTTTAGGTGCTTTTTTTTGTTAAATTTTGAAGAAACGAGCAGCGTTCCTCCTCCCTTTGCGTGCCCCCGGAACACCGAGGCAGCAAATACTTTTGCAGTACAGCTGATTTGACGGTTAGTCCTTTTATTAAGCAAATGTTACACTGAGACACAACTTTACTATAATGTCAAGCAAACAAATGTTTTTAGTTGTTAATCTTGTTAAAGTCCTTCCATGCACGCTCCCGTGGCCGCCATTTGGCAGCCCATCGATTTTTGGCACGACACCGGCCCACATCTCCAGGTTGTCAGTGGTGACGCATAATAGATGCGACATATACGGCAAAGCGGTTTTTGATTTTTCCACTTTTATAGACATATTTGGACTGATGCGACTTATGGGGCGATGTGATGTGTACGGCGGAAAATACGGTACATGTTCTAATAAATTAACACCAAAATGACCAAACTTACCATATAAAGATTTTTTTTTAAAGGGGCACATTTATGAATGAGTAGTTCACTCTATATTTCTCTTTTCACTGTTTGTATTAAACACGTCTGCCTCTTTCCTATGTGCATGTTTCTCCTCCAACAGGAACATAGAGTTGCACCAACGTCAAGAACTTTATAAGGCAGGTTTGCTCTCCTCCGCCCGTTATGGCACGCACGATGGCACCCTCGGGCCCAGTGAGGGGCGCAAGAAACCCCGCGGGAAATGGCTAGCGCTGGAGTCCTTGGAGAGACGCTGTCAAATCTGTCAACACCTCTGCTACCTGTCCATGGTGAGCTCAACCTGCTGCGGTTGTGGTTTTAAAACTTGTATGTTAAAACTGTTAAATAATCATGATTTACCCTGCAGTGGTGTTTAATTCATTCAGTCTGAAGGCAATTATGCTACACTGCTGTAACAGACACCTGCCACCGTCATAACCATAAGAGTAGAAAGGAAGCTATTTAAATATCTGCATTTATATTGTGCTTTTTAAGTTTTAAAATTCAAATTGCATCCCTGGTATCTAAAGTTGTATCATTTGTTTTGCGTCTGCAGGTGGTTCAAGAGACTGATAATGTGGTTTTCTGTCTGGAGTGTGCCCTGCGTTATGTGGAGAAGCACAAGTCCTGCAGGGGCCTAAAGATGATGTATCGATACGATGAGGTAAAACACCACCGTTCAGTTTGCTTCATGTCCACAAGAGGGCGACATAACCTCATAGAAAGACTTCAACGACCGACCAGTGCACGATAATAAAACTTTTATTTGGCTTTTCTTTACAGGAGCAAATCAACAGTTTGGTGAACCAGGTGTGTGGGCGGGCCATGCTGAAGAATGGAGGAGGCGTTATTAGTGCAGGAGGAGGAGGTGGGGACTCCTGCCACAGCTTAAGCCCTGCCAAAACCTCACCAGCCAAGCGGGGGCCACGAAAGCGCGCCACCGTGGAGGTGTCCCTGGCACGCCTGTCCTCCATCCACATACCCAAGGCTGCAGCTGTGTCCTGAGAAAAGGTGTGGGTGGAGCTGGGGGGGGGACGCCTCCACTGGCCCAATCTGTGTGCTGTGTCCTCCTCCATCCCCCATGACCATATTAAATTCTATATTAAACAGGAATCACTATCATTGCCTCCAAAACCACCACTTATAATTGCAGTTCACCCCCCACCTGAGTTCACTCGCCATTTCCAGATACACTCACTTCTCCTTTAGCGACAGCTTGTTTTTAATTTAAAAAAAAAAAAGGAACATTAAAAAAGAAAAGCAAGATGTCTTTTTTGCACTAGTGTGAAAGAAGAATTTGTTTTTTTTTAAATCATGAGTGATTTTTAGCCTCCTTGAATCAGCATTGCGAGCATCAATTGTAATGTTCACATGAAGACTTGACGAGTCCCTGTTTTTACCCCCCCCCCCCCATCCAGAATTGAATGGGTTACATTTTTTACTTTTTTCTTGCATCATTCTAACCTGCCTCTGAGACTGAACCCCTTCTGTGAACCAGTTTGACTAAATGAGAAAGACATCCAGTAGTTACCCAAAGTTTCTCTCTGTTCCTTGTTTAAGGAAGATGAGATCTTTTTTTTCTTGTTTTAAAGGGGGGGTTGATGCAAGGTAAAAACTTGAAAGACGATGTTGGTTGGCTACATTTTTTTTAAACTACTATTTTGGATTTTAGCTTTGTTTTTTGCTAGTTATTTTGAAAAATGTTTTTGTTTTCTTGTGTATTTTATTTTTGATCCTCGTGGATGTTTTCTACGTGTTGGCGGACGTGAGAGGAGCAGAGCTGCAGCTGCTTTGACCCGTGGACGGTCATCTCGCTTCCTTGCGGTGCAGGGGGGATCTCTTCGCTCGCGAGTGGGAAAAAAACGGTGCCTGATACTCAGCAAGGAGGTCCTTTTTATTGGTGCTGTTGGTTATTACTGTAGAACACCACAAAAGTTAAAACTCTGGGGGTTTAGCGCCTCACACCCCCCCACCCAACAGGACAGAGAAGCTCTCAGGCTTTTTCTGGTTCTAGATGTGCAATCGTGTTAACATTCCATTCTTCCAGTCCTCTTGTTTCATCTGTACAAGTAAACATTATTTTGTGTTAATTTGATTTGTTGTTGATCTGATGTGTTATCTCAAGTAGAGCCACTAGTTTAGAGTGTAAAATGTGAAATATCAAATCTTTTTTTTTTTTTTTTCTTTTTCTTTTGCGTTTTTCTCCCCTTCTCCAGATATATTGAGTCAAGAGATGGAAATAGCCCAACACAAACTTGTTGTACATAAATCCTGTACATTTCTTTAAATACTTGAGCCTTTTTTTTTTTCTGGGTTTAAGGAAGAGTTCCAGAGACGAGTGCTCGATGAAGAAACAGCCTTACATTTCCCTTTCTTCATCAGTCGGAGTGAGTTAGACGCTGACAGGGTTGCTCTGGTAAATGTGTATAAAATTTTTAAGTGCTGCTTATATCACTAAGAAAGAAGATATGGAGTAGCCAACGATTGCCCCCCCCCCCCCCTCCTTCAACCTAGTTTTGTTTGTTTAGCTTTACTTTTTTAAAGAAAAGGGAAAAGGGAGATGTTGATTGAAAAAAAAAAAAATGGGTTTTTACATTTTCAGTAATGAAAATTTAACAGAAATGTAGTAGCTACTCATGTTGCACTGAGCTTGCCAGTGGTGACTGTCAAGGAAAAATCCTATAATCCAGTTTGTTGGTTGTTGTCCCTCGCAGAAGACTGAACTGTTATAGGACTATTTAAAGAAATACCAAGGTGTTCTCAACATTTAAAAAGTGGTTGTCAAGTTTTTATGGCCTTACGTTATAGTTTATTCTTACGGGATTTTTTTTTTTTAATTCTTTATTGCTTTTGTTTTCTTCCATTTTCTACAGCATAAACTACTTGCTCACAACGGGATCTCTGGTGACTTAATTTATTAAAAGCCGCGCGTCGGCCTTTCCTTCATTCGGAAAGAGTTTCATGTTGCAGTTTTTTACTTTTTGCAGTTTGTACCTAAGGTTTAATAAAATCTTACAGACAATTCACGCTCATTTCTTTCCAACCTGCTTGTGGTTTTTGTGTCCAGTTTGATTCAACAACTCCCCGGTTCTTTTATCACTGTTGCTATAAATCAAGTCAAATACTCAATGTCAAACTTGTTGCATTTAAATCTTTCTCTGAAGCTTCACAGTTTTACAAATTCATAACACAAATATTAAATGTAATTTATGATTGACTCACTTTTAACTATGCTCATGCATGTGTGTTAGCATCAACCCTTATTGATGATAAATTACGATTTACTGTACTAAGGATCATTTATCACATTCGTACACTGATGGGACACACATCAAGGGCGATGAGGGGTTCATTGTCTTGCCCAGGGACACTTTGGCATGCGACTGTTGGTGGAAACTCGCATTGGAGGACGACTGTTCCAACCACTCGGCAAGTAAACAACCGACACTTCTCAAATGAACTGTTTATTTCTAAACCAGTTTCCCCACAAACAGGATCCATCAACAGTGAGTGTTGGTCAGATCCTCAACCTCATTTTTTCATCCCAATAAAATCAGATGAGAAAGCAACATCTGGGTCTGAAACATTTATTACTGTACGAGTAGGCATTGGGACAAGAAAGGAAGGAGTAAAGCTGTCACATTGCACAAATGTCAATTCCTGACCCCCAAAAAACTGGACACGTTAAACCTTCTGGCTGATGTCCAGTGCATAGCACAGTCCACAGCTGGGATTTGGTACCGGTTCTAAAGAAGTTCACCCAAAAATTCACTCGGAGGCATAGGTAAAGTGGTAAATGAATTAACTGTACCTGAACGTCTCCCCAGTTATTGTGTTCCAGCTCACAACCAGCCTGAGTCGACACGTTTCAGATGACATTAGCAGATAGTTCGTGGTTCAACTGAATCAATAATTCAAGAAATAAACTATTATCCGCTCTGCAGATCAGTTTGCCACGTCCTCGGTGATAATTAGCTTTTTTTTTTTTTTTTAACAAAGGGGTAGTAGCTCCATCCAACTTGTGAAACAATTCAATCAAGTACTGAAGCAGGATAAGAGCTGGGAAATGAAGAGTTTCACAGGAGCAGGTTCTGATCAACTTGTACAAGTCTGGAACCATTAACCCAACCGGGACAACATTCCAGTAGGAAAAAAGCTGGCTTTGTCAAATTATGTTTCTGTCCTCATTTTACAGAAAAAGCCCCTCAAATAGTTAAAAACTTGGATAATTCACCCTAAACCATCTGCAAGGTTTGAAAAAAAACCTTCTGGCGACTTCTGTTTAAGAATAAAAGCTCTATTTATATGGCTCGCAGTTTCCACTGGCATCATCCTGATAAACATGTTTATTCAATATTTAGAATAAAACCTCCCAACAAGTAAATAAGAATGAAAAAACAAACTGGCTCAACAGGTTCCTTTGGAGGAGTTTGACCTTTGATCAGAAACGAGCTTCTTACTGTCTCAACATGCACAAATACACAATATTAGGAAATTTCAGAAAATAAAATAATGTGCACGTTGAGACATTTTATGTCTTTATGCTTTAGGGGCAAAAACATTTTCTTATTACCGTATTTTTCGGACTATAAGGCACTCTTAAAATCCTTTAATTCTCTCAAAAATGGACAGTGAGCTTTATAATCAGGTGCACCTTATGTATTAATTCTGGTTGTACTTGAACTGATTTTATGTGGTTATTGTGAATGAGTTGAATAAAGTTTGACTGTTTTGTTTCGCTTAATGCGCCTTATAGTCCGAAAAATACAATCGATTTGAAAACTTAACTTTGTGGTCTTTTAAGGCAAGTTCACATGGCAGTTAGTGCAACCTCTGTAATTTCTCTGATCATTTTCTTAATATATGCAAGGTTCATAGGAACAAAAGCCAATATTTATAATGCTGCGCGAAACCTTTTCAGTCACCCCAGATTCTTCAACATCACTTTGCTTAGAAAGAGCCAGACTTCCTTGTAATCTTGTGAGCAGCCAAGCTGAGAAATAAATTTAAAAAACGGACAGATTTTCAGAAAGCCTAAAGAATCGACTGAGACCACGTTAAAGGATTACAGTAAAGTCAGGCTCATGGAAAGTAAATTGTAAAGAAGAAGATTCAGGACTTTTGCACGGGGCTGTGCACTCCGTGCGTTGAGTTTGGCAGCTGTCGAGTCAAATCGTTCTCAGACCTGCTGCCTTTTCTCCTTGCAGTCTTTACTCGTCTCCTCCTGGTCCTCTCTGTCCACCAGCACAGCATCAGGGTGAACCTCCTCTTCGTCCAAGGTCACCACCACAGGGGGCTTTTTCCTCCTCCCTCCTCCTTCACCTCCCTCCTGCTCAGTCTCCTCCTCGTCCTCATCCTCGTCTCCGGCCTCCGTGTCCTGGCTGGCTGAATCCGTGCACGTGGACGACAGGGACGACAGCTTGTGTCGCAGCTCAGCCTGGGTGGGGACCTGGAGGCTGATCTCGGTGGTGAAAGACTCGACGTCTGGACCTTAAAGGGACGAGATGAGTTCAAACACTGAAACCAACGCTGCGGCACATGCATGGAAATAAGAAACTCGTGAAAATTGTTGTTTTTAATTACCTGAACTGCAAATAAAGGCTTCGTCAAACTACTTGGAATCATCTCATCAGTTAGCATATTTTTTGGACTATAAGGCAAACTTAAAATCCTTTAATTTTCTCAAAAATCAACATGAGCCTTATAATCAGGTGAGCCTTATAATCAGGTGAGGCTTATAATCAAGTGAGGCTTATAATCAGGTGCTCCTTATGTATTCATTCTTGGTGTACTTGAACCAATTTTATGTGGTTATTGTGAATGAGTTGAATAAAGTTTGACTTGGCTCTGACTGTTTTGTTCCGCTTAATGCACCGTATAATTCGGTCCAAAAAATACGGTAAATACTTAATATATTTTGGTGTGTGTAAATTTAAAACTAATTCAATTTAATTTCAATTAAAGAGTGTTCCCTGAAGGGACATATACTATATTTTCCAGCGTATAAGTCGCACCAGTCAGAAAAAAGCTTCATGAAGAGGAAAAAAGCATATATAAGTTGCTTTGGCATTTAAGTCGTATGTGTCACCGCTGACCCGTCATGTTTATTATGCATTTATTTAAGCTCTCCAGCGTTCCTCCATCTGCTGAGTGAAGCAAGTGCACACGGGAAGACTCGCTGTTCTAGTTCTTTGAAATTTGAAGTGTCAGTCAAAAATTGAGTTATGCATATGGAAAGAAAAGTATATAAGTCACTTCAGCGTTTAAGTTGCAGGAAAGACAAATCTATGCAAAAAAACTGCAACTTATACACCAGAAAATACGGCAGTGCCACCATGTTTCATCCCAGTTATGGACTAAAATCACCGTATGGTGAGAAATAACAAAATAACTCAATAGTTATATAATTGATTTACTGTATTTTTTGGCCTATAAGTCATGTTTTTTTGCATAATTTATATGCCCTGCAACTTATACACCGAAGCAACTTATTTATGTATTTTCCCATATTTATAACCCAAGTTTTGGCTGTGGTATGACTCTTTTCATTCATTCTGACATGGAGCATATTGAACACTACCATTTTCAGCCACTAGATGGTACTCTAGTTGTATGGCATGCTGTTGTGTCATGTAATAAGTAAAAGTGGCTATTAATGACCCAATTGGCTTGCCATACTATGCCACCTTCATTTTGCTTTGTGATCATGCCTGGAGCAACCGTCAAATTAGCTTCATTTCGCTGCGCTGCCCCAGTGAACTGCAGCTGATTTGACCATTCAAGTGCATTTATTAAGTAAAAGTTCAGCTGAGCCACACCTTTGCTATAATGTTGAGCAAACAAATAATTGTTTATAGGTGTTTATCTTGTTAAATTTCGAAGAAATGCACAGTGAGCCCTCCCTCTGGGCGCTCACGCTTCCGCGAATCGACTTTTGAAATGCAGCTGATTTGACCGTCAAAGTGCATTTATTATGTGGGGGAGTGGTGGCGCAGAGGTTAGAAGATGGGCCTGTGATTGGAAAGTTGCAGGTTCAACTCCTGGTACAGTCAACATCAAAATGTGGGTGGAAAAGGGGAAAAACCCACACCTGCCTCCACCCTCATTTGCCCCATTCTGGGCCCCTTAACCCCCACCATCTGCTCCCTAAACAGGTTTCTCTTGAAAATGAGTTCTCGTGGCTCAATGAGACTACCTGGATAAAGGCTAAATTAGTTAACTGCTCCACCTGGTGGTGGATGGGTTAACCGCAGAGTGACAATTTCACCATTGTATGGGAACATACCATGATGACAATACATACACATTATTATCATCATCATTATTATTATTAAGGAAAAGTTCAACTGAGACACACATTTACTATAATTTCGAGCAAACAAATAATTGTTTTTAAGTGTTAATCTTGTTAAATTCTTGTTAAAGTCCTCCTGTGCATGCTCCTGCAGCCGCCATTTGGCAGCCAATCGATTTTTGGCACAACACCGACCCACGTTTCCAGGTTGTCAGCAGTGAATCATAATCGATGTGAGGTATACAGCGAAGCGACATATTCATGTTTTTTCCACTTTATTAGAAATATTAGGACTGATGCGACATATACGGCGGTGCCACGTGTAGGATGGAAAATACGGTAGACTGATTTGATTTTCCAACAGTTAGGTTTTGGTGCAACAAGAGGAGTGTGTCAAGAATATCTCGGCTACTACTAAACCAAATTGTGGCTCAATATCTTTGAAATCAACATAATTTTAGCCATTTTGATGTTTTTTAAAGTCAGTAGTCTGAGGTGGCCATCTCAGACTGGGCTGGCTTTAGAGGCTAATCTGTGGATGTACATCCAAAGATTACTTTGAACAAGCTTCACTCAAATCTGTTCTGTGGTTCATGAAATATTTTACTAACAGACAAGTGCAACAGCATTTCTCTCCTTTGCATTTCAGCTCGGGCGATAATAAATGAGTGCATTTGATGTCTGTTGTGTTTTCTGTGTACCTGGGACAGGTGAGGCCGCACTGTTGTCCTCTCCGCCGGAGTGCAGGAAGACGTCCAGAGCCTCGTGGTCAGACATGTCCATCAGGTCCATCTGCTCCAGCATGTCCACGTTCACCTCCATGGATGACATGCTGCCTATTGGCTCTGCACACCACATGTCAGTCATGCGTCAGCAACCACGAGAACACAGAATGAAGCAGCAGAGAGCAAGGAACCGAGTCCAGGAACAAGGATATTCAAATGCTTTGGCCTCTAAATACAAAAGCAGAAGCAGACGGACGCTTGGAGCTGGATGACATTTCAAATGGAGCGTGCGTATGATTTTTATAAAGCTTTGTGTTCATCATCCAAAGCATTGGTACTGTATAAAATGAACTGGCAAATATTATTCTGTGAGGAGGCGTACACGAAGAGACCCAGCTATGATAACTTTAGAACGACTGAGCTAACCTGACGCTAAATGTTTGTTCTTAGCAGTCAGTCCTATAGATCAGCAGCACAGACGACAATGAGCAGCAGCTACTCCTGGACTAAACTTACACCAGCTAATAAACTCATCTGTAACTGCACAGAGACAAGAGGTGCACGTTTGTTCTTGTATGGATACTATTTTTCTTGATCTGAGCAGCTTATCCTGTAAATAAACCCACAAGTACGAAGTCAATGACTTTATAACAATTTGATTTAAAAGCTTGTATATTTACAGATCCTGTTTGCTGCAGGTTTTCCTAAATCAAAGTACACTTGGCATACTAACAGATTATGGTTAAAACCTAACCGTTTGAGGATTTGGACAGTATTTGGACAGTCTTTCCAAATTTCCTTCATTTTCAGCTTTTAAGGAGCCAAACTTTTAAAACTTTCTAAATCTTTCTGATCTCAACCAGTAGTTCTTCAGGCTTTATGGAGATATTTTAAAGTTTCTCTTGAGAATTATTGTTTTTTTGCTCACTTTTTCCATTGTGAGTACTTAAACATCAGGGGAAGGTCTTTCGTTTGTTAAGCCCTTGACCTCTGACCTTGACTTATTCAGGCACTAAATGCTTCCTTAAGTCAAATTATGAACCAGCGTTGTGTCGACACATAATGAGCAAAGAACTCAATTTAAATCCAACCTTTCGTCATCTTGTTACCAACAACCTGTTAAAAAGAACATTTCTTTTCCAGTTCATTGGCAGAATTTATGAAAAACGCCCAAGATTTCACAGTTTGACATATAAAATAGTATTTTAGCACCAACAAAAGGATTCACAGGAAGATATTTGATCAAGACTTGACATAAAGTAGATGAGATGAAGGATGATGTGAGATCTCTGATGGATTCGTTTCTGTTTTTGACATGGCCTTTAGAAAAAAAATGTTCACCTATTGTAGAGTTTTATAGGACTGGGACTTGTTTTGTCCACTTTGTTTATGGTTTATTTTTGTTTTTTGTAAAGCACAAAATATCCAATAATTCTGTTAAGGTCAGACAGAAGGACTGGACTAAAAATGAGTAGAAAAACGAGTCAACGTCCAAAGAAACATTTGAACAACATTCAGAAAACGCTTGATTAAGACCATTTTAAAAGGTTACCATATTTTTCGGACTATAAGGCGCACTTAAAATCCTTTAATTTTCTCAAAAATCAACAGTGAGCCTCATATTTCCAGTGCTCCTTATGTATTAATTCTGGTTGTGCTTACTGACCTCGAACTGATTTTATGTTTTTTTTATTTTACGGTGCTCAAAATCTGTCAAAATGTTTTAGTTTAGCTTAATGCGCCTCATAATCCGAAAAATACGGTACAACAGTTTAAATAAGGAGGGATTTCAAACTGATGTGAGCAAACGTGACATTCGCGGCCTGTTTGACTTCGTCACAGTCAACAACATGCTCGAACGAGGCCTTGAAAGACTTTTAGCTTCAGAACTGAATGCTGTTGCTTCAATTCATCAACAAAACCAAACATGTTACATGAAAAGTATGAACATGACTAGTTCCTGGTAAAACATGCAACTATGATGACACGTATATGCAAAACAGTAGATGCTTAAAATTCTCTGACCTGTTCTAGTTTTTCTAATAAAACATACAGTCCATCCTTCTGCTCCAAACTTTAACAGAAAATAATGTTTCTTGCAATAAAAAAAAAACTCCCTTTACTCATCAGATAGGAAACTCCTGGAGTCACCACCTTGCAGGTGTTGCCCCCCCACCCCCCATCCCACTTTTAGTCTCATGATGTGCTGCATGCATCACAAACAGGCAGTCAGTGCACGGACGGGTTTGCAGGGAGGGTTGTGAGCACATGAGGAAGAAGCAGCATGAGTGGTTGTTACACAGCACTGACAGAAGATGCCATTTGCTACCATACCTCAAGGAAATGAGGAGAGTAGAAGAGGGCAGCACGGAGGAGGGGAGCGGAAGAAAAGAGTCGAGAAGGAGAGAAAGAAGGGGCGTGTTATTTCTGATGGAGGCTGCCCTAAAAATAAAACGTTACCGTGCTTTTCCAGAATTCTAACACAGACAAATTTAATTAAAACTGAAAAAAATGACGAGTTTTCAAAACCCTTCTTGGATATTTTCCTACTTTTCTGTGATCTCTCAGGGGAGACGGCCGTGAAACATTAAAGAGGAATGGAGGTTTAATTCTCTCTAACGACTGTTCATTTCAAAATCTCTAAATCTCTGTTGTCAGCTTTGCAGCACAAAGAAGCGGCTGGGCCTCGTAAAAAAAACGTGCTCGGAAAGGGTTCTGATCGTCCTCGGCCCCACGTGGAGCTGCTTCTGCAGCGTGTGAGGAAACTAAAATAACCCCAACATGCTGTGCAGGGTTTGGTCTGAGAAGCTCTGCAGAAAAAAAAAAAAGCTCATTTCCATGTGAATGCCTTACATGTTCCTGTGTTAGCCTCGCTCTGCCCTTGACTAAAAGGCTCCTCTGCTGGGGGGGGGGGGGTGCTCTTGCCTTCAGAGATGCTGCACACGTTTGTGTGAGCGTGTTCCTTGAGACGAGCTTTGATGGCTCTCCGTTTTTATTTTTGTTTATTTGTTATTTTAGACATTCATGTATGAAACGTGCAGCTCATTCAAGAGACGGCTGCTGTGATTTTTTTAGAATTACTCTGAAATCGCTCCAATTCCTCCAAAAACACAACTCTCCAGTAAACCTGCTCTTTTTGTTTTCCTTACTTACTGCCTTGGTGGTGAGGGGGCGTGGTGGTGCAGAGGTTAGAGAAAGTGAGCCTGTGGTCAAAAGGTTGCCAGGTCGACTCCCTGGACATCAAAATGTAGGTGGGCAGAGTGAAGCACCCACTCTTGCTTCAACCATTGTTTGCTCCACTCTGGGCCTTTGAGCAAGGCGCTTAACCCCCACCATCTGCTCCCCCGGGCGCCCTGGATGGCACCTCTCTGCTCCACAGAGGGCTGTGGTAGCTCAGTGGTCTGTGTTTGTGTCAGGGCATCTGGCGTAAAAATAATTGTCAAATCTTCATGTGAGTTAATTCACTGTGGCGACCCCTGAAGAAGTTAGCAGCCGAAAGAAGAAAAACCTTTAGCTTTAAGCTTGCCTTTTGCTACTTTAGCTTTTAACTTGCAGTTTGTTACTCAGTTTTAGCTACCCTGTTGCTGCTTCAGCTTGCATTTTGCTAATTTTAACTAATGGCCTTTTGCTTTTTTAAGCTTTTAGCTACCATTTGATAACTTTGAGGTTTTAGTTAACCTTTTGCAATATTAAGCTTTTAGCAAGCGTTTTACAACTTTTGGTTAGTGCTTTGCTCCTTTTGGCTTTTAGCTAGCATTTTGCTACATGAAGCTTTTGGCTGTTGTTTTACCATTTTTAGCTAGCGTTTTGCTATTTTTGTTTTGTTTGCAAGCATTGTGCTACCGTAAGCTTTTAAATCACACTTTGGCATTTTAGACTTCTGCTGCGTTGGGCTTTTAGCTCATGTTTTACTATTTTTAACTTTGACAATTTATTTTCCAGGTTTTCAGAAAATTTAGCAGACATTTATAACACGGATAGAATTATAATTCTTCTGTAGTTGTTTGTAAACGTCTCCATCATTTGTCTGAAGTGTAGCACAGCGCCACCATGCAAGGTTTTACAGCTACATCTGTCTTGTCAGCAGTTTACCATCAATAAAGTTAGTTTTTATTTTTACATTTCATTAAAAAATACAAACATGGCCTGAATGAAAAGCAGTTTTGATCGACAGTGAAGACATAAGCCCAGCAGATGTTCTCTGTCTCTCTCCCCTACATCTTCGCTGCTCCACAGTCTTCTCTCATAAACCAGTTTCAGGGGATTAAGAGAGAATTGATGAGTACAAGAAAAAAAAAATCACATTTCCATTGCAGCAGAGTCAGTAACATCTTAGAGACTGGGGTGGATGCAGTTCCACATTTTAGCACAAGCTCTGGATATTTTAGTCGACTCTTGGCAGAGATGTATGGGAGTAAAGCGCAGCAGGTTTCTGTTGCAGTCCCACTGGAGGAGTCCATTTATATGAAGTGTCGACTGCTGGGCTGTTGAAACAACTTACAGGGAGAGAGGAGCTGAACAGTCACCAAGGCTCAGTCTTTATATATGAAAATGATGTATGGCAGGCTGTAGTAATATATAATTAGATCACACGCTGATCTCTAATTACATATTTATTGGACACCAATTATAGCATTACTTTATATAAGTCAGAACTGAAAACAAGTATGCATAAAATAACATTTCAACAATACCACAACATCAATTATATTAGGAATTTGAAGAATTAAAACAATTCTAAAAGTTTAAGCAACCATTTTAAAATGTATTGGCTATATAAATATATTGGCAAATATACTAATATTTTTTATTATTTTAAGTAAAAACAGAGGGGTTCAGATATACAGAATGCCATTATGATAAATACAACTTTGTGGATATTTATGGATAATTTTTTATTTGAATTATTGGCAGAAATTCACATTTCAGAATTCTATGTAATTTTTTATTTTTTTTGGCCACTTGTTTTATATTAAAATATCGTTCATCAAGTTTTAATGAAATTTTCAAAATGGCTTCTTCTTTCGGCTTTTCCCTCTTCAGGTCATCCTCCTCCATCTCACTCTGTCCTCACTCCAACATCCTTCTACCAATATAGTTTCAAAATGTCTTAATATTTGTTATTACATTGTTACTAGTGTAGTTATAAAATGCATATTAAAAAAAATCCTTAAAACAACAAACATTTTAAAAATATCTTCTAATAATTTTGTTAAATAAATAAACGATCAATGGGCTTGCTACACAGGGTATTTGCGTTGTATATCTAAATTTTAACTTCATTTCTCTTTATGTCTTCTGTGCATCTTAAAGATATTTAGGAGGAGCCTCTCGCCTTCTCACCTCTCCGCTCAGTGATCTGCAGGTAGCCGGTGGTCAGATACTGCTCCATGTCCTGCTGAAAGGCCTCCTCAAAGAACTTCTGCCTGTCTTTCAGCTTCACCTGGGGGGGTGAGACCCCCGCTTGTTCAGCCCCAGGGGCTTTCTGCGAGTGTTCCGCATCCAGCTCCACTGAAAACAAACAAACAAACAAAAAAATTAGCACGTTTTCAGAGACTGGTTCCTTTTTTCTAACATGCAGGCAGTGTGAGACAAATATGAAAGATCTCATGTAGCATGTGCAGAAAAATACAATCTGTAAGACCAACAAAGTCCATGCTCAATAATCCAGGTATACAATCCAACAATTTTCAGTCAGGTCATCTGGACAGTTTTTTTTTATTTTTTTTATATGTTTCACCTTCCATCCAGAAGGCTTCATCAGTCAAGGAAACACACAGCACAAAACTGTATCAGTTTTGTGTTGTGTGTTTCCTTGACTGATGAAAAACGGAGATTCCACCAACGCAGTGATTAATTATAATTTAGTGGATTAAATAAAATAAAACTAACTTTTGCAGCTTGATAATAGTTGTGGTTTTCCTGAGACTTAGTCTATTTGCAGTATGATAAATGGTCGGAGCAGAAATATACACTCCCGATGTTTTGTTGTTCTTTATTTTTTGTAAATAATAAATTATATTTTTTGTGAATAGCGTCTTTAGTTCCTATGAAATCACCTCGACTCGTCGATGTCGACTCGACTTATCACATTGAAGCTGACTTTTAAAAATATGTAGTCGTTCAACCCCTGGTCTTCTGGACAGTATATTTTATTTTGTTGAGATGTTTTGTCCTTCATCCAAAGGACTTCATCAATCCGAGGAGCCTGATGACCAGATCAGATGACCTGACTGAACTTTGTTGGATTTTGTACCTGGATTATTGAGCATGAACTATGATGTTTTGAATCACTTCGTCTATGGCTGCCTTGGAGTGAGTCACCGGGGGGGTGGGGTGGGGGTGGGGGGGTGTTAGAAACCATCTTAGCACCAGCAAACTGGTTGGTCCACAATGGGAATGTGCTGCTTATGGGACTCAGTTTGTTGTGGCTCCTTGGACTGATGAAGTCCTTTGGATGAAGGGCGAAACATCTCAACCAAAAAAAAAAAGAAATGTCCAGATGACCTAACTGAACATGGTTGGATTTTTTTACCTAGATTATTGAGCATGAACTTTGATGTTAAACTGATTATTTATGTGCCGTCCTAATAAACTTGAGAAGAAAAACAAACCTGACTACTAACATAAACAAGAAAATAAAGTAAAAAGTTTCATACAAATTTCTGTCTGATTCTTGTGGCAGGAAAAAAAGAGGGAGTGGAGCTCATCCCTGACGGGGCTGAAGTTGAAGCAGAACAGCGCGGAGCTTCGAAGCGTCCACAGGTTCACCAGTTCAGCCTGGTGTTTGTAACTCAATCCTCCATCTCCTGCGAGCTACACAGGAGGGAGCACACTCTCAGCTCATAAACCTCAAGAGCTGCATGCACATTAAGCATCCATCTCCTGCTGCCTGTGTCCTCCGAGGTGCAGTGGCAGCAGCGAGAGAGGTGCGGGATCAAAATCTGTCACTGTTGTCAGGGAGAACAATCGACCGATGAGCTGTTCTAATTGATCCTGACGTATATTAGCCTTTAGATGGAGAGGGCCCATCATGCTGAGTGCCGATAGCTCATGCAGCACATTTGTCTCTGCAAAGTCTGTGTGTGACAAACGTGACAATTTTAGTTTTAAGTACTGATGTTTTCACGTTTTTGGATCCTGACTAACTTTTGAGGCAAACACCCTCTCCAAAAAGAGATTTGCATTCAGACTTTTAAGACAAAAAATGCATAAGATTGGGGTAGGGGTTAGCATTTGTTAGTCTTGAGGGCAGACATGTAAGTCACTGATGTATTCTGACGTGATGGAAGCTCGTGCATGAGAGGGCCGCAGCCCGCAGTCTTCTTGGATGTGCTGTCTCTTTTGTTTTTCTCATCATTCTTTGACAGAAAAGCATTATATAAGACCGCCCACTAACTACTGTGGCAAGAGGCAGGACAGTGCAGCGAATAAATAATGACTGATGCAACCTGTGATCTTTGTTTGAAATGAACAAAACAAAAAACATTTTAAATTAAAATCATTCCTTCAAGGAATGCACATCGCCTCTACATTTAAAAAAAAACCTTTGACACAAAGATCATTTTATGCTGAGAAATATCAAAGTCGTAGCTGTTTTGGTCAAACCCTAAAAAATCATCATGCCTCATCTTATGCATTATTACAACACGTCACACTCAGATGACGCGTTAATGACACATCTTAGCGACCTCCATAACAAATTTTAACTCAGCATCTGTAAAACTGACTGAGTTGTAGACATTTATGTTTGTTAAGGCTGTTTAGTTTTGGTGGAACACTTGAATTTTCTTCAATAATCAGTTGTAGAGATACATGTAATTATAACTTTCTGCAAAAGTAATTGAAATCAGTCCAGCTGGAGACATTTTCAAGAGATATTTTGGTGACAAACATTAACAAAAACAGTGTTGCCCACCTTTTTTGGCAGTGTGCCATATTGATAGCAGGTTACTACATTTTCGGAGACGTACTGTATATTTACATATGGATGACTCCGATGAGACGTCAAAGATTCAACTCTTTCATGCAGAGAAAAGTCCTGATAAAAATGTAGGCCTTGGCAGCAGATGGACACACTCACAACCAAAGAATAATGAGATCCCACCAGAGCTCACACAAGCCAGCAGCCCCCAGAGACCTGGAAAACAGCAGCACTCTTTCTCCGTGTCATCCTTTAGCCTGCACCCAATTTATCTCCTTCATCGGATGCTTCATGTTTGTCCCTCATCTTTTCCCCATGACTGTCTTTACGCTCACTGTGGCTGCTGTGAAAATGTGTGTGTTGTATAGAGACTGCTCTATTAGGTTAGGAAGCCTCAGGGAGGCTTTGTGAGGACAGCCAAGCATTGTGTGGAGGGTTTGTAGTGGGGAGAGAGGACAGGAACAGAGGAAGGTGGTTTGGAATTAAAGCCTGAGAGCAGACAATATTTACAAAATAACTGAATTCTGTGCCATTTGTTTCACCTCTAATTCTTTATTTATTATTTCTCTGCAATAGTTAATTTGCATTATTTTTGAACACGCTAACTAACTACTACTTCTTCCTTCTTCATCTTCTACCATAGTAGAGGTAAGAGGAAACAGAGGAAACAGGACCAGAAGAGAAACCTAGACATCCCACGCCCCAGGCACACTTTCTAGCTTATCCTGGGGGACACCAAGGTGTTTCCAGGCCAGAGAAGATACACAATCCATCCAGCATTTTCTGGGTCTTCCCTGGGGCTTGCTAGCAGTGGGATGTGCCAGCAAAACCTCTAAAGGGAGGCGACCATGTAGCATCCTAATCAGATGCCCGAACCACCTCAACTGACTCCTTTCAATGTGAAGGAGCAGCGACTCTACTCCGAGCTTCCTCCAGATGATGGAGCTCCTCAACTCATCTCTAAGGCTGAGGCCAGCCACCCTGCTAAGGAAGCCCATTCCTTCCACTTGTATCAGGGATCTCAATCTTTCAGTCAAGAGCCAAACCTCAGGATCATAGTTGAGGGCTGGAACAAAAACAGACTAGTAAATAAAGAGCTTTGTCGTTTAACTCAGCTCTTTCTTTACCACAATAGACTGAAGCACGCCCTCATTACTGAAGACAAGACCCAAATTCGTCCCTCTATCCCCCTCTATCCTACCATCAATTATGAACAACACGTCAAGATTTTTTCATTCAACCTTTATTTAGACAGGTAAATCCCATTGAGCCTCGAGGACTCATTTACAAGAGAGACCTGATTTCAACAAAGAAAGATGACAACAATGGACAACAGCAACAACAATAAACAATTATAAAAAGTAATACTGCAATTAAGATAAGTCCTCCACCTGAGGCAAAATAAAGCAGCGATGAGACCCTGAGGTTCCCAAACCAGACACCCTCCTGGCTCTGACTGCACCTTGAGATCATGTCCATGAACACCACAAACAGAATCTGAGACAAGGGACAGCCCTGGCAGAGTCCAACCCGCGCTGGGAACAAGCTCGACTTTGTTCCAATAATGCAAACACAGCTCCTGCTTTGGTTATACGAGTCGTTATACAGATAGCCCTTAAAATCAACCCAGGTACCCCATACTCCCACAGTAACCCCCACCCCCACCCCGCAGAATGCCTTGAGAAGTACAGTCATAAGGGTTCTCCAGCTCCACAAAACACAAGTAGACTGGAGAGGCAAATACCCATGACCCCACTAGCAACTCCGCAAGGGTGAAGATCTGGTCTACTGCTCCACAACCAGGATGGAAGCCACACTGTTCCTCCTGAAGCCAAGGTTCAACAGTTGGTTCAGAGCCTACCTTCCAACATCCTGGAGAAACTTTCCTGGGGAGGGTGAGAAGTGCGATCCCACAATAATTGCTACACACTCTTGTCCCGTCTTTTAAAAATGGGAACCACCGCCCTGGTCTGCCACTCCACAGGTGCTGTCCCAGTTCTCCATGCAACATTGAAGAGACATGTCAACCATGACAGCCTCGCAACATTGAAGAGACATGTCAACCATGACAGCCTCGCAACATTCAGAGTCTTCAGCATCTCAGGGCGAAGCTCGACCACCTCTAGTGCCTTGACACAGAGGAACTTTCTGACTACCTCAATGACATCATGGTAATGGACTTGTCTTCCCCCAAGCCCTCAGACTCTTCCTCCTCAAAGGTGGACATGGTGGGTGGATTTAGGAGATCCTCAAAGTACTCTTTCCACCACTCAACAATATCTGCAATCTGGGGTCAGCAGTCCCCAGCTCAAGCCAAACACAGTCTGGGAAGGGGCCCACTTTCGTTTTCTGTGTGGGCGTGTGGTTTGCCAGAAATTTCTAGGCCAACCAAAAGTTCTTCTTCATGGCCTCCTCAAATTCTTCCCATATCTGAGTTTTTGCATCGTCAACATCTCAGCTGACTATTAAATCTGATGATAAACTCATTCAGTGAAGGCAAACAGCTCTAAGAAATTAATTCTTCTTCTGAGGTCAAGTCTTTACATGACAGTCAGATTATTTGGGCTTATTTCAACAGATATCTTGA